ATAGTCAAACAAAGGCAGAACACCTTTTGCACTTGAGAGAGGTATTAACAACTTTGTAGAAGAATAAGCTGTTCAGTAATCTGAAGAAGTGTAGCTTTGTGATCCCAAGCCTAGTATTCCTCGGCTATGTGGTTTGTAGTGATGGCATTCGGGCATATGAGGAGAAGGTGAGGGCCATTCAAGAGTGGCCTACACCGAGCAATGTGGGAGAAGTACGCAGTTTCCATGGCTTAGCCATGTTCTACCGAAGGTTTACCAAGAACTTCAGTAGCATTATGGCTCCCATCACAGAGTGCGTGAAGAAAGGAAAATTCCAATGGGGAGAGGAAGCTGAGATGAGTTTTGTCTTGATCAAGGAAAAACTATCAACAACCCAATCTTAGTCCTTCCAGATTTTGAGAAGCTATTCCAGGTGGATTGTGATGCCTCAATAGTGGGAATTAGAGCAGTTCTATCACAAGAAGGAAGGTAAGTAGCGTTTTATAGGGAGAAGCTGAGTGAAGCACGCAAGAAGTGGACTACTTATGAGTTGGAATTCAATGCGGTGGTGCAAGCTTTGCATACATGGGAGCATTATCTTATCTAGCGAGAGTTCGTGCTGTTTAAAGATCACCAGGCACTAAAGTCCATTAACAATTAAAACAGTGTTAATCGGATGCTCGCGTGATGGGCGGCTTATATCCAGCAATTCACCTTCTCACTAAAACACAAGCCAGGCCAACAGAACAAAGTTGCAGATGCACTAAGTCGGAGAGCAGCTTTCTTAGTGACTGTGAGGGTTGAAATCATAGGGTTCGAGTGCCTGAAGGACTTATATGAGGCCAACGAAGAATTAGGGCAAACCTAGGTAGCGTGTAAAATGAGCTAATCCTTTAAAGGGTTGCACATGCCGGAAGGATTTCTCTTTAATGAGAATCAGTTGTGTATCACGTGCAGCTCTTTGCGGGAGCAAGTGGTTAGTGAATTGCATGGAGGTGGATTAGGAGGACATTTGGGGCGTGACAAGACGCGAGATCTAGTGGAAGAAAGATATTATTGGCCGTAACTCAAGCGTGACGTGGAAAACCATGTGCGGCGGTGTTTAATCTGCTAAGCTAACAATGGCCAATCTCATAATACTGGCCTTTACATAGCGCTGCCTATTCCAGATGCTCTATGGGAGGGTTTATCCACTCTAGGGTTGCCGAGGACGTAGCGAGGAGCAGACTCTGTTTTTGTGGTGTTTGATCGATTTTTCAAGAAGGCCTATTTTATTACATGCAAGAAGACGAACGATGTAGTCCAAATGGCCAATCTGTTCTTTAAGGAGGTAGTTCGTTTACATGGGGTGCCACAGTCCATTACCTCAGATCGTGACACCATGTACTTGTCTCACTTTTGGTGGATTTTATGAAAGAGATTCAGTACCTCTCTTAATTTCAGTAGCACCAGTCACCCCCAAACTGATGGCCAAACAAAGGTGGTGAATAGGACCCTTGGAAATCTAATTTGCTGTATTTCAGGGGAGAAACCAAAACAGTGGGATCTTGCTCTTGCATAGGTACAATTTGCTTTCAATTGCATGGTTAACAGGTCCACTGGTAAATCCCCGTTTGCGGTTATGGATTGCTATCCTCTAAAGGTTGCTTTGGATTTGGTATCCTTACCGAAGTTGCTGGGGAAGAGTGTTGGTGCAGAAAAAATGGCTAAGCACATTAAGACCATTCACGAGAGTGTTAAGAAACATCTAGGGGAAACTTACGCCAAATACAAGCCTGCAGCTGACAAGAGATGAAGGAAAAGAGTATTTGAAGAAGAGGACCTGGTTATGGTATATCTAAGAAAAGAGAGGTTTCCAGTGGGAACATACAACATGCTGAAGGCTAAGAAATATGGTCTGTACCAGATTCTAAATAAAATCAATGATAACGCTTATGTGATTGATTTACCTGCTAACATGGCCATTTCTTCTACCTTCGATGTGGCTGACATACATGAGTATTATCTGCCAGATTCGGGTAACTCAAGGTTGAGTTCTTTTCATGCAGGGGAGAGATGTACAACAGTTGGCTTATGCGTATATGAGCATACATGATCACCACAAATCAGGGAGGCTGAAACGTAAGGTAGGGAAATAGAAGATATTATTCTCCATTGCAAGATTTAAGGAGATTTGGTGTGGTTGCCAACAATAGAAGATATTATTCTCTATAAGATTTTAGGAGGATTCTGCTCTATCAAATCTTAGATTTCCCCTTTAATATTATTTCACGCATACTTTATTTTTTTATTTTATTTTTTGACATGCCTATATAAAGGCAAGAGATTGAAGTCTCCACTAATCATTATTATCAATATAATTTTAGTTTTCTCTTGTGAGTTCATTCTTTGTGAATTCAAGGGTTTAACCTTATTCTTTATCATTTCGGCTCCGTTAGATACGAAACCCTTGCCAACACAGACTGTCATCATCTTGGAACTCCCAGACAAAACATCCATCTGCGGCCTCAACACAGTCCCTCCATCCGACCTGCACAGGTGAGAACCCTCCTCCCTCCCCATGTGAGACTCAGATAGCCTCCCCAAATCCCTACCAGAAGAAAAAAACTGAGCAGGAGAAGAAAGTCCAAGAGGAAACCAGCGTCCCCCATGCTATTCAAGTCATCACTACTGTCAACATCCTTCTGGGATGTCATATCCCTTTTTGACAGCCTAGGAACCCCGTACCTGATCGTAACCTTGTCAAACACCTCTTCCTCAGAAACTATCTCCACCACAGGTGAAAGCTTCCGAGAAACCTCTAACAACCCATCATTCTCTTACCCCACTAGACTCCTCAACACCCGACAAGGAGTAGAAGAAGAAGAAGGAACAAAAAGAGAGCTCTGAGATTGAGAAACAGGGTACATGGTAAATACCAGGTTCTAAAATGAGTTAAATGCCTATATTGAACATTATATTAGATAAAAACATTACTTTACTTTAGAAAATATAATAAAATGAATATTTAGCCGTGTACGTGTGTCCTTCTATTTGGAGATTTGACAGGTCCGACGATGGATACAAACTTGTGTCTGACACCTGTACCCGAGTTCATGTAACATAGTCCAGGACCCCTACCCGAGTCCATGTAACATAGCCCTGGACCTCTTACTATCCTTTGGGCTGGACTTCATTCCCTTAATAGAAGCAGAAAGTTATTTATTTGGGCCCCAAAAAACTAACTTGTCCCTTCCATGAGTAATTGAAGCATGCTTAAAATGAGCAGGCCCAGAAAAAGATCTTGACCCATTGGGCATGGGCCTATCACAAGCGATTTAAACATCTGCACAGGGTGAATGGGCTCGCCCATAACCCAGCCCAGAAGAAGAAGGAAAAATGAAAGCCCGAATTCGTTTAGGCCCAACCCCATCAAACCCATCAATCGGTGAATTCAAAATCCCCTCTCGCTCACGTGCTCGGCCGTGTGAGGGAACAACTGTCCTGCAATTAAAACGGGAAGCATCTGGATTCAAAGCACGTGGACGGCTCAGATCACTCCCCTCCCCACTCACCTTCCGTGCATATAGCCGAACACATCCCTGACCTTGGTTTCGACCATGGTTCACATCCCTGATTTGTGACACCAAAATATAACTAGAGCCATAAGCATACTTGCGAATCATGCGTCCTTTCCTTTCCATCACCAGAGAAGGCATCAATCCTTCATTCCTGATGAAAGACATAGATAAAGGCACAAGAGAGGGAGCAATTTCTTTTGTCAACGAAATCTTGAAGGCCCATCACTTGTCTTCCACGATGATGAACTCTGGAAAATCTCTCTGCCGTGGACCATTATGATGACAATCCACCCGGTATCACACATTTCAAAGGCCTCAACATCCTAGAACCCACCACAGAGGTCCCCAATTGCTTCGAACAGCTTGTGGCACTAGAGATGCAACGGAAGGCCGAACAAGATGACCCTTCGGTGCTTGGTCTTCGTCCTCGGACCATAACAACCGACGCGATAACACCACAAATCGATGAAAAGATGCGCATCGCCCCATATCTTCTTGCCCCATCTCATCACCCTTTGAGCTTTCTTTTCCAATGGAAGTCTGAAGAGGATTAAACCATCAGGCAAATTAGAAACCCTAACCCCACACGGAATTTTCCATGTCTTCGTAGCCCACTCTTTGATCCCTTCCAAACACCTCACATCTCTGTCAAATCTCCCAATGAGACAAGATTTCTGTGTCGATTCACGTTTAGTGGTGCTATGGTCGTCCACCTTAAGAACATGACCTTTGTCTGTGAACACACTATCCACTTCTCCCTTCAAATCCAGTCGCGGGAGGCTCACAACTTCAAGAAAGGACGACTTCTGACCTTCCAAAGCTGTCATGAACCTCAGAAGAGAAAAACCAGAGAAAAAGAAAGAAAAGAAGGAAGAAAATGGCCTTAGAGGGCGCCGGAGTAGAAGACTCCGAAGTCAGTGAGCGAGAGATGACAGGCTATTATTCTGGCATTGAACAGTCCTTTGATCTATTATGAGATGACGGGCTGCCTCGAAAGAATTTCTATATCCCAAATGATAAGTGGAGGCATTATGTTATCCACAAAGTTCCAAACTACGGTATAACCTCGTCATCATCCACTTATTGGTGTAATATGGTATCTCATTATAGCCATCATATATGATTTTGCACGCCCTTTATTTATCATATAGTTTTGTTTGATTGAAAAGCATTCAATATTGCTCACTAATAGGCTTGTTAGATGCGATACCCTCCCAAAGTGGTACGGCAACAATTGCAACCACATTATTTGAAAAAGGAACATACTTTTCATTTCAAAAACTTTTGTAGTAATTAAAGGGATCGTCCCATAATTTGTAATCATTTAGTTTTTTCTCATTTGTGAACTTTTGATGACATTGACATATATTCTGGGTGGTTCTTTTGCCTGTGACAGGAAATACTTTTGTTCTCTATGCTACTGTCTTTGGTCTGATATGGTTTTCTATTTTATCTCTATAGGCTCAGCTGTGGCAACTTGCTCAACGGACTACTTCTCTTCCTCTTGGTCGTGGGGCATTTACTCTTGCAACCACCTGCACTCTTTTAACAGAGGCACTCCCCTTACTGTTTGCTTTAGTCTATTATCTTTCCTTGGATGAAATTTAATTGTTTTAATGCGAGGATTGAAAATTACAGATTTAGAAAAATGTCAACCTTTCTTCATGTGGGTATACGTAATTCTTCATATGGTCTTGGTTGTGATGGAATTCTTTGAATCTTTTGCAGGCACTCACGGTCCCAAAGCTTGTTCTAGCAGGTCGGTTGCCTGCCCAGCAAAATGCAACTGTATGTTCATAAAAAGTTCAACATATCAGTTGTCATTAGTAACGAGAAGCAAATGGCTTTTGTGTTTGTGGTCCTCTTTGTGTGAAACGCTTGCTAAATGCAGGACTGAAAATTTTGTGCTCTTTCTTTTACAACCCGAGAATAGAGTATTTATTCATTGTGCTGTTGTATCTCCATGAAACGAGATCCATTTCCATTTTGGTATTGCTTTTTGTTGCAAAGCATAAAACGTAAGTGGAGAGATAAATAAAACAAGTAGAACACACAGATATTACGTGGTTCAACCACTAGGGCCTACATTCATGACACAGAGCCCAAAGGGCTACATCACAATACAATACAATGGTGGATGCTCCTTTATATAAGAGAAGAAATTGTGAGAATGGAAAGAATTAGAAAATAAGAAACAAGGAGGATGTTTCTTCACTGATTCCTCTAGTAACACCAAATCTTCAATTATAGGAAACAGCATCAATTACTGAAAGATTTTCCTCCACTGATTCCTCCATTAAATCTTCAATACTCCCCCTCAAGTTGGATCATGAATGTCCAAACAAGTGAACAAAAAATTGCCGGAGACACGGCAAACGCGAGGACAATTCTATAGAACACACCGGCAGTCCAAACAAGTTGATAAAAACTACCGGAAACATGGCAAAGACGAAGACAAGGCTACTGAACACACCGGCAGCCAAAACAGGTCAATAAAAACTGCCGTAGACACGGCAAAGGCGAAGAACATTACTGTCGAACAAACCGGCAGCCCAAAAAAGTCACAAATAGTACCGAAAAACCTTTAGCAACATTTCAAATGCTAAAGGAATACCCCAAAATAGGGGTACGAACCTAGGAAGAGAAATTAGGCTCTGATACCATGTTAAAAAATTAATAAAGAAACAAAGTATGAAGAACACAAGGCAAGAATATACGTGGTTCAGCCACTAGGGCTGAACCACGACACACAAAGCCCTAAGGGCTACATCACTTTTATTATATTCTCTCTTTTTCATATACAATACTATGGTGGATGCACCTTTATATAAGAGAAGAAATTATGAGAATGGAAAGAATTAGAAAATAGGAAACAAGGAGGATTTTTCTCCATTGATTCCTCTAGTAACACCAAATCTTCAATTATAGGAAATGACATCAATTACTGAAAGATTTTCCTCCACTGATTCCTCCATTAAATCTTCAATACTTTTCCTTTAATAAATGCAGCTTCTGGAGAATAATGGTCATTCTTATTTATTCTGTTTCATGTTTAGATAATCCTTTATAGTCATCTTTATGTTTGAACAATTTTCTGTATTAGCTCTCTCCATTGTTCTCTTTGTTAATCTGCTTGGGTGGGTGTGTGTATAAACTCTTTCTTTTGCTGGCTTACATAGTTTTCATTCTTTGGCAGGTTAACTTGGACCCAAATATAAGGAATATACAGGAACTTAAATCTTGGCCTGAGTTTCACAATGCTGTAGCTGCTGGATTAAAGTTGGCCCCTCTTCAGGTTTATTTAACTTTCAAGACCATAGTTCTCGCTTTTATTCTATTGATGCAAGAATTAGCCACATCACTGTATTCATTTGTTCATCATTTTTCCAAAAAATTCTTTGTGTAGTCGGTGCTCTCTTTAGTTTATATAACTTATCTTTTAATTTATTTCGTTAAGGCTTTGAAGTTGCAGTTAATGCATTTATGCAGTCTATTTCATTTAGTCTTAAATTTAGTGAATCTCAAACTTTCTCTCTATTTTGTCCCTCCATTGTGCAACCACGTTGTTAGAGTTATGCCTCATCCTTCTTTCTACTCTCCTTTCTAATAATTATTTTCTTTTAAGCTAAAAAATGCAATTCTGTAGAATATGTTTGATGATTGAGTTTGGCTTTTCATTTGCAGGGAAAAGTGTCACGAACGTGGATAATCTATAACAAACCTGAAGAGCCAAATGTCATTCATGCAGGACTTCTCCTTGCATTGGGATTACATGGATATTTGCGTGTTTTAACTATAACTGATATATACCAATATTTTGCACAGGTTTAGTATTCCATGGTTTTGACCTGTCATTGAGTTATGTTATTATTTTAAAAAAATTTTTAATTTAATTTTATTGTATTTCATTTTGTTTCTGTTTTTTTTCATACAACTCCTGCTATAACTTTCACCTTCTCATGTGGCTATTGGAACTTCTTTGTGTTAGTCTTAGTTATTTGATGGTAACTCTTAAAAACTACTTACCATCTCTATTTGTTCATGTAACTAAAGGGTATCTTCAATGACTATAATTAGATGTTGCATGTGGTTCATTCTGATGTTAAATATTGGCATTTCATAGTTTAGTTTGATTGCAATAGACGGAATTGTATCTAGGATAAGTCTAATGTTGATGCTAAAAGAGAAGGATTTGTTAAGCATGTTGGAAGGGAATATTTCTTTGTTGATAATTGTGGTGTCAGGCCTCTTGGAACATCCCATAATTTACCTCCGGGCATATGTATGTAGTCTCCCCATCTCACATGCACCAGGCAACTACTGGCAAAATTCCTTGGGGGTGGCCCCAAGGGTTTTCAAACTCCCAACCTCTAGGATGTGAGGTAGGTTGTGAGAGTCTTTTCCATTAGGCTATCCCCTTGGGGTTCTGTTGGAATATGGCTACCCACATATTTAGGGGGGAAAAAGGCTACCACACAAGTATTACATGGGTTGATCTGAACCTATAATCCCATCTCTGTTTTCACAAATGCATCGCCTTTTTTATGCCTTCTTCCTGATAGCTGCCATCTTAAAACAAACCACCACAATTCCACCGTCTGTATTATCACCTCTTCATCAATGTCAATACCATTCCATATAACACATGGCTAATTTTTTTGTTGTTTAAGAGAAGCATGCTACAATAAATTTAGTTCTCCTAGTGAAATAACAAACAATTCATTATATCTTGATATAAATCGTCCATCCATGTATTTTCTTCTCCCATTAGCATAGGTGGACCGACCACATCTAAATTCTTTGGGGGCTTAAGGATAAATGCTCTGTGAGAAACCTCTTCAAATAACTTAGAATGTAAGCATCAATATTCAACTAGGGTAACAAATGAAAAAGCTTTCAACTAGCCTCTCTCTACCCTTTGAGGCGCCAGAGTCATCCACTCCGGCGCCCTCTGATTCTGTTCTTTTTCTTATTTTTTAGTGTGGATTTGTGATGCGGCGGTCTTTCCTTGAAGTGGCGACACTCGCCTCAATTTTAACGGCGAGATCAAAAGTTTCTCAATTGGCAAGGAAAGGGTGTTCAGGGTTGATAATCAAAGCACAAAGACTTGCAAATCTGTTCTGAAATCATGCCTTGTCAGACGTTTTGATCGAGATGAGGGAAGTAATGACAGGATTGAGGCGTGGGCGACAAAGACTTGGAAGATAACGAGTGGGGTGGTGGTGTCATCCTTGCCCTACGGTTTGCTTCTGTTCAGACTTCCATCAGAGGAAGAGGCACACAGGGTCTTGGATTCAGGGAAGAAGTGGGGAGATGCTATCCTATCAATTGAATTATGGTATTTCGCGGTGTGCTGCTCAGTGGTGAAGCCAAGAGATGGGATAAGAAGGGTGGTGATGTACGGTTTACCTCTCCACCTATTGTGCCAAAAGCTATTCGAATCCATAGGAGATCTTTGCGTTGGTTTCAGAGGCATGGAGGCGGATGAGATGGCGGGAGGTGAGAGAGTTGTTCTCTACGGTTTTGCCGGAGGTGTGATTCCGGCGTTTGTTTTTGTTGAAGATCAGAGGGTGGCCTTTAAGGTTGCCTTGATGGAGGAATCCTCACCACTCATACTTCCCAAGTCAACTCACGGCACTGAAGGTCCCCCTCGGTTACCCAACGATACGAGATCTGGAAGAAGTCATCATCCACGGCAGTTGCAGGTTTACCTCGGCCCTCATGGACAATGACTCGTGCTCTTCAACGCGCTGTACACGAGTGGAGGAAGGAAGACCGCGAGATGCATGTGTAACGCCTCCCTCCATTCCTTATTTGATTCACTGAATTTTGAACGAAATGTTGGAGGCCAACCACGTGGACGGGATCGAGGTATAACAGGCGTCTTTCATGCAGATAACCCTGGCCTGATTTTCATTTTGGGCCTGACTTGCGTATTAGGCCAGATAAGCCCACGGTTGGGACTAAACTGTGTAATGGCCCACAAGAGTTTATTGATTTAAAAAGGAAGGTTACTTGGGCCTAATAACCTGATTTCCGTTTCTTTTTTAAATATCAAGCCCAACCTATCTATTATTACAGAGCCTTGCAATATAGAACATCCACAACATCGTCTTCTTCACGGCTCTTCTGCAAATAGCTTGTGGACTTCGCAGGAGAAGAGGAGATGGATGAAACTCAGTGCAGATGAGGTTGGTGTAAGCATAGATGAGAAGATTTTTCGTCATAATCAGTGCTGTGCTGATGCATAAGAAGCGTCTTTTCCTTTCACTGCATTGCTGAAGGGAAGAGACTAGGTTTTCATCTCGGGACTCTCATAGGGATCGCCGTGATAACAGATGGTCTAGAAAAGATAAACAAAAATGGATCCGCACCCCTTCTATCAATGACCAGGTATGTCCTCTGCTTTTCACCCTCAGATCTCTCCTACTGCTCTGTTTTCATTTACTCCTTGTGGGGTGTTGAGGAGTGATGTTGAGACGGCGACAGAGAAGAGTTGTGTGTTATCAATTGTGCCTTCGGTGCTTGAAGTTGAGCCTGCTTTGATTACGGAAGGGAAGGCTGCCTGTGGGCCTGTTATCTCTAGGCATGTTGACCCAGTTGATTGTGCAGTTAAGGACTTGTCTGAGGAGGTTACGGTCTGTGTGGGGCACGATCTCCATTTTTAGCTGTCCAATGATTCGTCTTTGGCTCTGCTCAAAGAGCTCTGCCTATGTGTAGCTTTGAAAGGCCTTAATTGTTTGCCACCTACAGGGGTAGAGCCGAATGAGTTTGTCAGATTCTTAAGTCATGGAATGGGTGACTATGCTACAGATTCTGATACGATGACAGAGCCGCCTGTGAATGGAAGAGAGAGTGTAGAGGGGGTGATTGATGACCTTGTTTCCATCCAACAGGTCTGTTCTAACGAGCTTGTTCCATGGCTGGAGACTGACCATACTAACTTGGTAGTGGAGGAACCATTGGCTGTTGTGCGACTTGGTTGCTCTGGAACGGCTGCTGATATGGGAAAGGATTGGGTAGTCGCAAATTTAGGAGTTACTAGTGAGTTGTTGGTTGTCTCGTTAGAGGGTAACATCGATCAGGCATCATCCATTCTTCATGCAATAGTGGAAGGAAGAGAGGTTGTAGTGACTAATGAGGTTGTGAATACGAGGCCTTTATCGTCTTGGAAAGGGGAACAAGAGGTCAAGAATCTTATCTCTTATGTTAATTATGAAGGGAAGAGAGGAGCGGTGAGGGAGAGGGGAAGGACTGGAAGTAGGAGTATAAGGAGGGGAGGAGGGGAGATAATCTTATCTAGTTCTTAGTGATGCTACGAATCATTACTTGGAATGTTCATGGTCTCAATTATCTGGACAAAAGGAGGGTGGTAAAGGTAGCTTTAAGGAAGTGGGGAGCCCAGGTTGTTTGTCTGCAAGAAATCAAGTTTGCATCCATTTCTGATGGGGTGGTTAGGTGTCTTTGGGGAGGAAGGTTTGTGGAATGGGAGGCCTTGAAAACTTTAGGTACTTTGGGCGGAATTTTAGTTATGTGGGATTGTAGATGGCTGTCTAGGATGGACGTGTGGATGGGGGATTTTCTGTGTCCTGTGTGTTTAAGATGGAAGAGGACAATTTTAGATGGGTTTTTCTTTTGGGGACCGGTTGTTGATAGTGATCGACCTCTTTTTTTCTGGGAGGAGCTTTGCCATGTTCAAGGACTGTGGTCTCTTCCTTGGTGTTTGGGTGGGGTTTTCAATTCTGTTAGATCCCCGCTAGAGAGGTCTACTGGGGGAAGGTGGTCTTTAGAAAAGAGGTTTATAGTGATCGACCTCTTTTCTGGGAGGAGCTTTGCCATGTTCAAGAACTGTGGTCTCTTCCTTGGTGTCTGGGTGGGGTTTTCAATTCTGTTAGATCCCCGCTAGGGAGGTCTACAGGGGGAAGGTGGTCTTTAGATATGGTTCAGTTTTCTGACTTTATTAATGAGCATTTTCTCATTGATTTACCAATAGAAGGTGCAGCAGCCTATACGTGGTCAAATGGCGGGACCCAGTCACTTTATCAAGGCTGGATCAGATTTTGATTTTTAGGGAGTGGGAAGAGAAATTCCCGGATGCTGTTTAGGCGGTTTTAGCAAGGGTCATCTGATCATGTTCCTTTGGTTTTGGATTATGGTGGGTTTGCGTTCTCGAAGTTCCCCGTTTCGATTTGAGAATATGTGGTTGAGAACGGAGGACTTCCAAGGGAAAGTTCGGTCATGGTGGGAGGAAGCAATGGTTACAGGTTCGCCCAGCTTTAGGTTAACTAAGAATTTAAAGGCTCTCAAATTGGATCTTAAGAAGTGGAATAAGGACGTATTCGGGAATCTTGAATGGAGGAAGAAAGAGTCCTGATGATTTTTTTGAGATTGATCGTCTTGAAGAGGTGGGTGGGGATGTGGAGTCTCTACGTTCTAGGAGAGCCTCCTGTCAGACAGTTCTTGCTGAGATCATAGTTGTTAAAGGCTCAAGGCGCACTGAGGCGCAAAGGTGCCTTGGAGCCTGAGGCGCAAGGCGAGGTGCGTGCCCGACTGAAGCGATGCGCAAGTTGAGAAAAAAAAATAAAAAATAACATCCAATAAAGATGCAAAATCATGTAAACCAAATACATTAGTTTAATAATCAACATGCTAACATAAAGATGCAAAAGCAAACTAAACCAAATATTGGCGTTCAATAGTCAACATAGTAACATAGTAATTACTAACATAAAGATGCAAAAATCAACTAATTAAATAAAAAGTAAAACAAGCATAGAAATGTTCACTTCATCAGTTCATCCTAACTCCTAAGAAGACCACCAAAGGATCTAAATATCATCGGATCATCCTCATCATCAATAAACATAGCACCATCTTGATCATCACTTAAAAAGTGCAGCAGGCATTTTCACAGCAAAGAAAAAAGAAAAAAAAAAGGCATTCACAGGCCACAGTCCAAAGGAAACAATAGCAGGCATGCATTTTCATAGCTAAAATAGCAACATTAGGAAACAATAACAGGCGTTACAGGCATGCATTTTCATAGCTAAAAAGCCTAAAATAACAGCATTTCACAGGCCACACTCCAGACGAAAAACTAACAGGCATGTTGATAATTGATAGCTAAAATAAATAAATAATTAAAAAAGAGAAAAGCAAGAGCAGAAGGAAAAAAGAAAAACAGAGAAGAAGAAGGAACAAAAAAAAACAGAGAAGAAAGAAGGGGGGAAAAAAACAGAGAAGAAAGAAGGGGAAAAAAAAAAAAACAGAGAAGAAAGACAAAATAAAAAAAAATAGAAAAGAAGAAGAAGAATACGCTGGTTGCCAGAGAAGAAGACAGACAGAGAGAAAAGCAAGAATAGAAGGGGAAAAAAGAAAAACAGAGAAGAAAGAAGGAAAAAAAAAAAAAGAGAAGAAGAAGAAGGAAAAAAAAAAAAGAACAGAGAAGAAGAAGAAGAGAATAAATGGTTACCTGGTTGCCGGAGAGAGAGCTCGTCGGAGAGAGAGCTTGCCGGAGAGTGAGAGAGCTTGACAAAGAGACCCATAGCTCCTAAATATTTCGTACAACAATTGAGCCTAATTTGGGTTCCTTTACTTTTTTATTTGGACTGGTCTTTTAACTTTTTTGGTGGTAGTGGTAGGGACCACCCACCATTTAAAGTTACTTTATCACATCAGAATTTATTATATAAGAAGAAGAATGTGAAGTCTGAAATTCTGAATACAACAAATGTTTAAAAGGCAAAAATTAAAGAAAGAAGACAAAGGCTCACCTTACCATACTCAAGGCGCAGAAGCTGCGCCTTGATGCGCCTGGCGCCCGAGGCGCACGCCTGGTGCGCCTTTAACAACTATGGCTGAGATTGCTAGTATGGAGGGGATCTCGTGGTGACAAAAATCTCGGGCTCTTTGGCTAAAAGAGGGAGATCGTAACACAAATTTTTTTAACAGACTCGCTAATACCCACAGAAGGAATAATCACATAGGACGAATTCGGGTGGATGGTATGGAGTTGTGAAGGGAGGAAGAGGTGCGTAATGGGAGTTGGGATCCAGTGATTGACATATATGTGAAGAGATTGGCAGGATGAAAGAAGCAATATTTGTCTAAGGAGGGGAAAGTTACTCTTAGAAAGAGCACTTTATCATGCCTTCCCACATATTTTTTTTTATCTATGTTCCGAATTCCATGCTCTGTTGCCGAAAGGATCGAAAAAATGCATAGGGATTTCCTTTGGTGCGGAAGGGGCGAAGAGTTTAAGTATCACCTTGTTAGATGGGAGCAAGTTTGCAAGCCCATGAAGTTGGGTGGTCTGGGTATCAGGAGATTGGTTCCCTTTGATCAAGCTCTCCTGGGTAAATGGTTATGGAGATATGGGAGGGAAAGGCATCGCCCTTGCCGAATGGTAGTTTCATGTCGTTTTAGGGAAGGAAGTGGCGGTTGGTCTACTCGTCCGGTTTCTCTTGTGGGAGGAGTTGGGGTGTGGAAATCCATTCGGAAGGGTTGGGATGTCTTCTCTTCTCACATCAGATTTAAAGTTCATGATGGCAAATGTGTTCGTTTTTGGGAGGATCTATGGTGTGGTGACCAGCCATTATCTCATAGATTATATAGTATTTCAGTTGATAGACATGCCTACGTAGCCGACTCTTATCGGCTTGATAGTAGTGGGATTACGTGGGAGGTGCACTTTCGGCGTTCTTTTCAGGATTGGGAGATGGACGAGGTATGTGTTCTTTTGGATCTGTTGTGTCGGCAGGAGGCAGTGACAGAGGTAGTGATGATCTAACATGCATCCCCTCTTCCCATGGTTGTTTCGAAGTTCGATCCTTGTTCCTACGCCTATCTAACTTTGGTAGCCTTGATTTTCCATGGAAGACCATATAACGTTCTATTGCTCCAACTAGAGTGGCATTCTTTATATGAACTGTTGTATGGGGTAAGATCCTGACGATTGACAATTTGAGGAAGAGAGGTAACTGTATCGTTAATTGGTGTTGCCTGTGCAAACGAGATGGTGAGCCAGTTGATCACATCCTCTTGCACTGTCCCGTGGTGTACGACTGTTGGAATCTTATATTTGGTTTATTTGGCATGCTTTGGGTAATGCCACGTTCTTCTAAGGATTTGATTAGTGCTTGGAGAGGATGTCGTGTGAGAAGTGGTGTACGCGATTACTGGAGCATAGTTCCACATTGCATATGGTGGTGCATTTGGTAGGAGAGGAATAGCAGAATGTTCGAAGGGATGGAGTTGTCCACGGCGACATTGAAACTTCATATTATTCGCTCTCTTTTCAGTTATGTGAAGAGGAGTCCTTGCTCCTCTTCCGATGATTTAATCATTTTTTTGGATTTTTTTGGGGCCTTAGACCTCGGTTCCACTTTTGTATAAGTGATGCGTTCCCCTTTTGAATGCCTTTTTATTCAATTATTACTTATTAAAAAAAAAAAAAAAAAAAAAAAAATTAAAAATTGTTCATTGAGATGCCAAAGGTAACTGCCGCTCTTCATTTGCTTTAGTGCTTTCTGTGGTTTGCTAGATATTAGAAAGTGATATTTTACAAATTTTGCTTAATTAATAATAACACCTCAAATTTTATACTTCTTGGTTCATCGCATCAGTTATCTTTTTAGTTCTCTCTATCTTTCTCTTTATATATATATATATATATATATATCACACACACATGTTGACTCACCTACAACTGCACAGTGCACACATATTCTTAAAATGATTATTAAAGGTATTATTGATATAATTTTAATGTTTAGCTTTTAGCTCTATGTACCACATTCCTTATTTTTTGTCCTTGTAGGAACATGAAAGCACGACTGTAGGATTAATGCTTGGCCTGGCAGCGTCTTATCGGGGGACTATGCAGCCAGCAATATCAAAGGTAGAAGTATATACTTATTTGACCTTCAGTTCTTTTCCTCTCTCATTTTTTCTTTATTTACCAGTGAGTGGACTATGTTAGTCTTGTTCTCGGAATCCAAAACTATTATTAATTTTTCTTTGATGAGCAAATATATATTAACAAAGGCGCTCAAAGGGGAGCGAACCCTTAACAAAGCAAACAAAAGACACAAAAGGCGCCATTATCAACAAAATCCAAAAACTGTCCACAGATGAACAATTTTTCCCATTAACCCAAGAATAAAGAGAATGCAAAATATTCGACTTAATAACCCACGCCGACGACTCCTTTCCATCGAAAGATCTCCTGTTCTGCTCGTGCCACAACCCCCACCAAACACAAAGAGGGGCAACCCTCCAAGCTTTTCTAACTCGGCTGCCCATTGGTCTCCCTCTTCAAGCCTCTAACGTATCCATCGTGTTCCTCGACACCACCCAATCTACCCCAAAAACATTCAGGACCATACTTCAAACATCTACTACCACTTTGCAGTGCAGCAAGAGATGGTTAACCGATTCGCCCGTCTTCTTACACATGCAACACTAATTAACTGTTATTTAGCGTCTTCTTCTAAGATTATCGAGAGCAAGAATGCTGCCAAGTACCGCTGTCTATGTGAAAAAAGGCACCTTCAGTGGAGCTTAAGTCCTCCATGCAGCCTTCCAAGGGAATCCGTTGCTTATCGAATCCGTAAGGCTTTGGTAAGACAACCTCACCTCAAACACCCCTCTGGACCCTCCCTCCACACCATCTCGTCCCTTCCTTCCCCCTCCACCACTTGACTATAAATTAATCCCATTAAATCTGTAAATTCCAATAGCTTCCAATCATTAAAATTTCTACGGAATCTCACATCTCAACTAGCTCTCCCATTCTCTAGCCGAAAATAATCTGCAACCACAACATACTTATAGTAGAAATATAAAAAGAAGAAGAAGAGAATTGTGTAAAGGCTTGAATGAGATTAATCTCTCATTCACAGCTCTAGTATTTATAGATAAAAAGAGCACATGCTCATATTACAAGAAAGGAAACTAATTCAAATCACAGCATATTCTATGACATATTCTATAACATAATCAAATCTCTGCTATTATAGTAAGTCATTTCATAAATCGTGGATATCATATATGCTAACACTCCCCTTGGTGCGTGGATATCTGAAACGCCCAACTTGGACAATGCATTCTCAAACACAATCTTGCTGACGCGCTTTGTAAGAATGTCTGCAAGCTGCTTAGAGCTTGTGACAAATGGAGTGTAAATCTGACCAGAGAGGATCTTCTCTCGAATGAAGTGATGGTCCACCTCTATATGCTTAGTTGTGTCATGCTAAATGGGATTTGCTGCTATGCTAATGGCCGACTTGTTGTCACAGTAGAGTGAGAATGGAAGCGACATTGGAAGGCACAAGTCTGTCATTAAGGTTTTCAGCCATAGCAATTCACATACCCTAAAAGCCATAGCCCTATACTCTGCCTGTGCAGTAGATCGAGAGACAACATCTTACTTCTTACTGCGCCAAGTAACCAAGTTACCACCAATAGTGGTACATTAACCCAAATGGCTAACAATCAACACCTGTCCAAGCCTTAACACGTAAGTGACCATGAATGGCTAACAAAATACCATGACCTGGACACCCTTTTAAATAGCGAAGGATCTGAATAGCTGCATCTAGGTGAGGGGCACGAGTAGAGTGCACGAATTGACTCACGACACTCATGACATATGCAATGTCAGCTCATGACATATGCAATGTCAGGTCGAGTCATGGATAAATAGATGAGCTTCCCCACAAGTCGTTGATATGACGAACATCTGACAACAACTCCCATTTAGAATCAGCCAACCTATGATTGTGCTCAATCGAAGTATCAGCAGGACGAGCGCCAAGCTGATTAGAAGCAAAAAGCAAGTCAAGAACATACTTGCGTTGAGAGATGAAAATACCAGCCTTGGAGCGAGCCACCTCAATGCCCAAGAAGTACCGTAGGGGACCAAGATCCTTAATCTTAAACTGACGGCCAAGATAGCTTTTAACCTTGGCAATTCCAGTAGTATCATCGCTGGTAAGAACAATATCATCGACATACACAATGAGAACAACTGTCTTACTGCTTGAATGACGTAAAAACAAGGTATGATCAGCTGCACTTTGATGAAAACCAAACTTGAGCATGGCAGTCCCAAAGCAATCAGACCAAGCTTGAAGAGACTGCTTGAGGCCATACAGAGAACGACGAAGATGACATACCATACCAGAATGAGCAGGAGAACGAAAGCCTGGAGGAGGAACCATGTACACCTCCTCTTGCAAATCACCATTGAGAAAGGCATTCATGACATCTAACTGAAATAGAGGCCAAGATCGAATCGCAGCAATGGAAAATAATACACGGATGGTATTCATCTTGGCAACAGGGGTAAAAGTCTCCTGATAATCTATGCCATAAGTTTGAGCATAACCCTTTGCAACCAACCGGGCTTTGTAACGAGCAACTGACCCATCTGAATTATGCTTAACTATAAACACCCAACGACAACCCACAACCTTTCATTCAATAGGAAGCGAAACCATGTCCTAAGTCTGATTTTTCTCAAGTGCTTGTAGCTCTGCTATCATAGCATCATGCCATTGAGGTTGTGCTAATGCATTTGCAACACTAGAAGGAAGAGGAACCGAGACAACATTAACAAGAAAACTCTGATAGGAGGGTGAGAGAGCATAATCATAAACAAAATTAGAAATAGGGTATGTACAAGAACGTTTACCCTTTCGAAGAGCAATGGGGTGATCATTAAGCGAAACAATAGCTTGAGAAGGCGGAGTTGGTGAGGGGAAGCTTGTCCCTGTTGTCTCTGACTATAAACCTCTGAAAAAGGAACAATTCCCCCTGCTGGAGGGGTATCACGAGGAGGAATCATAGAAGACGAAACAGGTAACGGTAGAGGAGTTGAAGACGGAAGAAGGTGATCATCCATTATATTCAATGGGAACCATTCACTTTAAGAACCACCTGAACCACTATAGTATGGTGTATACTCAAAGAAAGAAACATCCATGGATATAAACCGGCGACAACTGGGAGGATGGTAACACTTGTAACCTTTTTGAAAGTGAGAATAGCCCCAAAACACACACTTTAAAGCCTTGGGGTCAAGCTTTGTACGAGTCTGCCCCAACTGTTGAACAAAACACACACACCCGAAGACTCGTGGAGGAATAAAAAAAAGAGATGAATTGGGATGTAAGATTGAGAGAGGGGTTGCAAAGTTAAGAACCCTAGAAGGAGTTCTATTAATGATGTAAACAGCTGTAAGAACTTCATCTCCCCAAAATGACTGGGGAACATTCATGCCAGTGCAGATTGCCCTGGCTAAGTCAAGGATGTGGTGATTCTTTTTCTCAGAATGGCCATTCTATTAAGGAGTTTTAACATTAGCCATTTGATGCTCAATCCTAAATTCTGTACATAACCGTTGTACCTCCCCATAAGTGTACTCCGTACCCTGGTCAGATCTGAATTTTTTAATGGTACGACCATATTAAGTCTTAACCATTGTCATAAATTTTCTAAAAATGGTGTATACCTCTTTTTTGGTTTTCATAAGATAAACCAATGTAACACAACTATGATCATCAATGAACAATACGAAATATCAAAATCCAAGAGTAGATGTAACTGGGCAAGGACCCCACACATCTGAATGAACAAGATCCAAAGGTGTTAAAGCAGATTTGTTACTACTAGTAGGATAATTGAAACGAACATGTTTAGCCATATGACATGTCTCACAGGATAAATCTGTCACTGCCACGTTACAAAATAAGGAAGGAAATAAATATTTTAAATAACCGAAAGAAATATGTCCTAAACGCATGTGCCAATGCATAAGCTGGGCTTTAATAGATGAAACAAAATTAGAAAGTGAAGCTAAATGTGCTTGAGGTGACAAAGGAGCATCCAACAGGTATAGACCGTCCACTTCACGCCCACTGCCAATCGTCCGTTTCGACACCAGATCCTGAAAAATACAATGAGAGGGAAAGAACTTTACACTACAATTTAATTGTTTGGTAATGTTACTAACATAAATAAGATTTATAGTTAATTGTGTGGGACATGAAGTGTATCTGACAAAGTTAATGATGGAGTAACTGATATGTGACCCTTCCCAGCAATGGAAGATGGAGAGCCATCCGCAAACCGTACCTTGCGATGGCCAGAGCAGATACTATAAGATTGAAAGAGTGAGGACATATCAGTCATATTGTCTGAAGCACCAGAATCAATGATTTATGGTGTCGAAGATGTAGATAAGCTATGTGCAGACACAATAGTACCTGAGTGGGCATAAGTGGAGGTTGGCTGAGCTGATGCCTGCATTTGGTTGAAGAATTGCTTGAACTTGTCCAACTCAGCTTGAGTCAAGGTAACTGTGGCAGAAGATGTAAAGGCAGAGCTGTTAAGAGTTGACAAAGAGACTGGTTGTGTAACAGATTGTGCAGAGGATCGAGGCTGTTGTTTCTATTGTGGTGGGCGTCCATGGAGAGCATAAAAACGAGATTTGATGTGACTAATTTTTCCGCAATGGTCACATCGACCTTGTTGTCATCCCAGAGGAGGACCGGTGGTAGAGCTATGAACTAACTTGGATGGTGCAGTTCGTGCAAGGTTGGGAACCCGAACTGCCATAGCAGAACGATCAACAGAAGTAACACCTAATGGATGAGTCTGACAGCTCTCATCTGACCACACATAGGAGTATGCATCCTCAAGAGTCGGGAATGAAGATAAGCCCAATAAATGAACACGAGCATACTCAAACTCATCGTTCAACCCGGCAAGAAACTGAAACGCTCGATTCTTTTCCACAATCCTTGCATATAAAACTGCACCATTTGGATCCTTCGAAGAGTGGAAGTAATCATAATATGACATCTCCTCCCAAAGAGCACGAAGCTTGGCAATGTA